AAAAGGGTATGCAAAGCACTTAGACTGAATGTTTAACTTCTTGATTTTCATGCTTGAACATTTCAAAATACTTCAAGAGTTCATTGCTGTCTTAGATACAATTAAATGGATCTTTTGCATTATGCTACTGATTGAGATGCTCATTCTTGTACTCTTGTGCCATCTATTGTGTAACTTTGGACTAAACATTTGCTGGGAACATGGTAATAGTTAAATGTCACGGGGCATAGGTGTTTAATTAGGAGAAAATATGTGTTTTCCAATGGTATACCCATGAGATGTATAATTGTATGCTAGATTTGATTTTTTTCCTTTTTTGTTCCAAGTAGATGAATGTAAGTTTATAGTCCCCTTTTTTCTTCTTAATATAATGATACACAGCTCTCCTGCGTGTTCACGAAAAAAAATGTAAGTTTGTAGTCTCTGGCATTTTGGATTAGGTCTGGCACTTGTGCTTTCCGCCGAAGTTATTGTGTGGAATCAGGAGCGCACATGAATGCAGAGTAGCTTAACGCATATGCATTAGTTTATCTATTCAAGGAAGCCATGATATTAAAGGAAGTTATGCTGCAACTGCAGTGCAGGAAAACCTAAAAAAAATTCATATATCTCTATGCCTATAATCATTAGCATACATGAATGCAGAGTGGCTTATGTTGCCTATGTATTAATTTATCTTTTCAAGGTGGCTGTAAGATTAAAGGAAGTTATGCAACAACTGCAGCATAGAAAGTGTTATGGGGCATCAGCTAGGGGCCCAGGGGCCCATAGGATCCCCTGGGCCCCTAACTGATGCCCCATATAACAGAAAAAGACTCAAAAAGTATCTTCACATATCTCTAAGTCAGTGTGTTCCTGCCTTGCTTTAGCTTGAATGCAATTTATCTTGTTCAAATTTCTGATCATCTGCCTTCTATATATCTCTTTGCATGGATATCCAATCATTTCATCCTTTTGAAAACAGTGGGCCTCCTGGAGATCTCTTTGTTTGCCTTGATATAGAGGAACCATCAGATATCAAGAGGGATGGTATAAACTTGTATTCAACTGTGTCAATAAGCTATCTTGAAGCTATTTTGGGCACCATTAAGCGGGTAAGATCTTTCTCACCATGATTATCAGTTGTGATCTTTAGTTAGTTTCAGTCATCGATTACTACCTTGTTCAGTACAACTATTTTTTCCCCATAGAGCAGAACATATGTCTGGAACTTGTCCACTTCACTTTATAACTGGAGGACAGAAACATGCAAAAGTTGATATTCCTTATAGGCAAAATAGCTTGGTTACTTTATTCCAATGCTGATGCAATCAGCAACCTTCAATTTGAGGTGTATGTGAGACCCTCTTCGCCCTGCTTTAACACAATACTTGTTGAAGCAATGCTGATTGCACTTTCAGTGATATATAAAGTCTGCCAAATTGATTTGCTCAAACTTTTACAAGTTTAGTGCCTTTCCAACTAACACAGATGGTTGAGAGTAGACTAATTGTTGGTAGATGTTTGTTTCAAAACATGAAAATATGTCTTTGAAATGGTTCTTCTGATATAAATTATATAGGTCTGTGTAACCGCTCCTTTCAATTTCTTTTATGAGCAGGTCAGTACTGTTGATGGAACCAGTGACCTTCGAATACCTCCAGGTACCCAACCTGGTGATGTAATTGTTTTAGCGAAGCAAGGAGTTCCATCATTGAATAAGCCGTCTATACGTGGTGATCATCTGTTCACTGTTAAAGTTGCAATACCCAAGCGCATAAGGTGAAAATATGCTTTCTGACTTGATCCTACCTTTTAATTACTTTTATCACTATCCTAGAGTTGGTGAGCCACATAATTTCTCAGTTAGTATTTCTTAATCACTAATTTTCTGTTTCTTCCAGTGGGCGTGAAAGGGAATTACTTGAGGAACTTGCATCTTTGAGTAATGGCGGCTTTGCTCGAACAGACGCCAAGCCAAAACCTGCCCAGCCAAAGCGTATACATGCTAATCACTCTTTCTTTTCCTCAGTCCTTCCCTTCCCCTGTCCCCACAACAAAGAATTTATTCTTATTTTGGATTTTTACTATCAGAAGTTTGTTGGTGTCTCGATGGTATCGCTTGATAAGGAATGGAATTTCCTTAAAAAAGAAATTGAAGTCTTACATTTGTTATCTTTGTTGCAGGCGTACATCAAGAGAAAGAAGTAGGCGCTAGTCAAGAAGATACAGACAAATCTAAAGAAGCAGAGGGTGACTGGTTGAAGAAACTTACAGATTTTGCTGGGTAACTTTTTTAAATTTGATTTCACTACAGCGTAAAAAATCATGTGATGATTATGTCTGTTCATCCTGCTGAAAATAGGTTTTGTACTGTCTCTTTTTCTTAAACTATATGGTAATGAGGTAATGCCATGCTGAACAAAAAATCATTATACTGAGCAGGGGGTTTGTACTATGTCTATTTTTCCTGTTTTGGTGGTATAAACTCGTATTGTGATCTTTTGGACATAAACTACGTTGTTGTTTATGGCAGACGTTACATTTCCATGTGCCCGTTAAAAGGGAAAAATTACAAATGTAGTAATGGGAAGTTTGAATGCAGATGCCTATTCTGTTGAAATGTGAACCAACCTAACCAAATCTTGTAATAAACTATATTGTTGGTTACAGCATTACAGTTCCAAGTATTCTTTAAAAGGGGAAATTACAAATCTAGCAATGGGAGGTTTGAATGCAGATGCCCAACTTCTGTTGAAATTTGAACCAACATAATTGTGTTGTGTTTGAGAAAAATAATAGGTTGACCGAGTTCAAGGATAAACAATGTTGATTGAGTTAGTTCATCAGACATTTTTGTGTTTGGGTTATCTCTTGTATTCTGACCAAGTTGTTGAATTCTTTCAGGTCCATTGTTAATGGTGCTGCAAAGTGGCTGAACGACAACCTGTAGGCGTGTAAATATTTACTGCAGGATAGAAATTTTTCAACTGCCATGTTGCTGTAGCCCAATCTGCAATTCTTGGATTCATTGGGGTCCCCACGAGCTCGTACATTGTTTTGTTGGAGAGCTTCAAGATTTTAAGGCTGTGAGTGGCAACCGAGGGAGTGAGAATTGTGAACTAATATTGTCGGCGCATTGATCCCTTATCATTCTTGCAAAGCAATTATTTTTATGTAGTTGGAGTTATTTTCAGTTTGGCAAGCGCATGCAGCAGTCTGAAGTTGTGGGATACTGATCTCAAACACCGAGACTTGACAACACTGTAAATATGTTCGATTCCCTGTACTTGAGGTTTTGGATTAATTAAATTCAATATCAACATTCAACAGGCAATCTTTTTCTGATTTCTGAAGCTGCGAAGCTTGCATCGAGCGAAGCCTCAAAAGAATTCATTCAACAGAGTTGCAAACTTTTTCATCTTACAAAATGCGATGGAACTATTATTAGAAAGAAGTTTCAGTGATCTCGAATTCTCTGTTTCGAGAAGTCCTCGTATCGTATCAGTCCGCCGAGCTAGCTTTGAGCAAAACCAAGACTGCAGCTACCACTGGCAGGGACACCAGCAGCAGAGCTACCGCAATGTTTGGCCTTGTGATGTCCGGGAGCAGGATGCTTCCGTACTTTATAACCGCGGCGCCACCAAGGGATCCAAAGATAGCCGGAGTCACCCTATTCATCAACACAAGACAAGGAAGGAAGAAACATACTCAACAGTCAAGATCTTATCTTTTGCCCGTGAAAAACACATACATAAATAGCTGCTTAGACCCAAATACGAAAATAGTATCACTTCCAAGCGTCGCTGATATGATATTCTGATGGCAGGAACTTGAGTCTCGAGGGAATGGCTACTTAGGTCCCTTTGGAACACATGAATTTTATATGAATTATACAAGAATCAGTACCAGTTCATTTTCATAGGAGAAACATAGGAAACTGAAAAATTTCCTACGTTCCAAAGAGGGCCTAAGAAAACTGAAGCTCTGGAACAAACCAATTGATTGCTTCAAAGAACAACCCTCACTAGAGAAGAGATCATACTATGATACTAGTGCCAAAAAAAGAAAAGAAAGAAAAGCTTAGGTCCTGTTTGGATGTAGTATTAAGAAACTGCAGTTTTAGAATCCACGTGCAAAACTTCGGTTCAGAGAAAACCCATTTCACGTGGAGTTTATAAAACTCCAAAAGACTACAATTTTAGCAATGCTACGATTTTCAAAGCCACGTGCAAAACTTTGGTTCAGAGAGAACCCATTTCGCGTGGAGTTTATAAAACTCCAATTTTAGCAGTGCCTTCAAAAACCATAAAATCTGTTGGTATTTTACATAGGCACGATATTATTCCCTTTTCTAAAACTCCAAAAAATATTTTGCATCCAAGCAAATGTGCTATTGAACTAGACACGTGCCTGGCCACAGAGGCCATCAGGCCAGTCATGTAGATTTCAGACCTTCGATCAGACATTCAGAGATTCAGACTACGCTCACGAGGATATACAGTGGTTGATGACAAGAGAATGCAAAAAAAACCCGGGGAGGAGGCACAGGCACCGACCTTGAGGATTTGCCCCACGCCCGCGTCGGTTCCGGCCTCGCCGGGGTTGCGTCCGGAGAGACGAGTGACGACGCGGCTCCTCGTGGGTGCGGCCACGCGGGGGTTACTACGCCGGCAGTTCACGCGGCGGGAGAAGCTGCTGCCCCGCGGCGCCAAGTTGGAGCCGGGACCGGCGTCGCCTCGGGGCGGCGCGGCTGGAGTGGCCACGGGCACGGCGACCGCGCAGGCTCCCGCCATGGACGCGACGCGACGCGACAGGCGAGCAGCTGGATGGGAAACGGGCTCGACGGAGCGCGAGGTTATCCAGATCAGATTGGGCCAGTGGGCCGCCACCGTCTCATTTCCGGCCCAAACCATTATTAGGCCAATCGCGAAGTGGATGGATAAGAAAGCGGTGCGAACGGAGGAGGCAAAGGAAACACTGCTCCACTAGCGAAGCTTGGGAAGGGAAGCGCGAGAGCAATGGCGTCGCCGTCGTGCGCCTCCTCCACGCTGCCCTGGACCTCAGCGTCCTCCTCGCGGCCCTCGGCAGAGCGCCGCCTCACGGCCTCTCGCCGGGCTCCGTCGCTGGTCATCGTCGCCCAGGGGAAGGTCAAGAAGTACCGCCAGGTCGGCTCGGCTCCCCAAACCCGCCCCCGCCTCTCCCCTTGCTTTTCACTTGCCTCCATTACTCTTGTTACGTGCGCCTACAGTAGCTTTCCTTCCGTGCCATTTAGGGTTGTAGATAGATTCGCGCCTCTTGCTTTGGGCCAATCAATACGGATACTTTCGGCGTGTTAATTATTCTGTCCAAGTTATCTGCGCATTTGATTTTTGCCACAAATTAGTGCATGTGGGTTGCGGAGGGCATCCTCCTTGGTAACTTTTTGATGAGAAATCCATGTTCATGTTAGATGAGTGCTACTGCTAACCAATAGGACATGGCAATACCTGTTACATTTTAGTTTTCTTGTCCAAACCGATGCACTGCTCATCGGTACGTTTGTACATTCTGATCAATAGATAAAAAGGAAGTTAGTTAGCTGTCTCAATGGCAACGGGTAATATACAGTGGCTCGCACAATTTAGATGCTTCCGGAGTTGTACTACTTCTAATGAGGCTTTTTAGGCAGGGGATTCAGACCCTAGGAATTACTTTTAGTGGGAGTGTTAGAGTATGGTAGGGGCCTATTGGGCCTGGACTGGATGTATAGCCCATTAGTGTTAGGGTTAATTAGAGATAAGGGTCGCTTGCTTAGGAGTCAAGTAAACCTCTCTATATAAGGAGAGGAGATGTATCAATATAATCAAGCAAGAATTAAGAAGGAAAACCTTTCCCTCTTGCCCGGCCATGGGCAAACGCCCCGCGGCCGGCTCTCTCTCACTCTCGCAGCCCTAGGCGTGAACAGCGCCGCGGGTACTGTAGCGTGTCAGCCGCCGTAGCTCCCCTCGCCTCTCCCTCTCAATCCTCCAGCCACATAACAGGGAGCCTCGCCTCACTAGTTGGAGTTCAGTGCACAAGTAGTTCATTTTGTTGTGATTGCCTGATTGTACAAGAATGCAACAAAGTTGCATCCAGTTAAATTGACAACGTTGTACAGCACCGAGCTGTACTTCACCTGCTCATCTTGTGTATCTATTGTTGCTATCCTTAGCATTACATGTAATTTACTTTTTTTTTTAAAGAAAAAAATCTTCCCCATAGGTCATACTGACAGACGACATAGAAGCGGTGGGGAAGAAAGGAGATACAATGAAGGTGCGAGCTGGATTCTACCGCAACTTCCTCCTTCCCAAGGGCAAGGCTACGCTTCTAACCCCAGAAGTCCTCAAGTAATTTCACACTCACTGCATTGTAGCCCTTGGTTATCCCACACTTGCTTTGTTACTTATGTTGTTTAATTGTTGGGTTTCACATATTTTCCTTACCTGCAAATTCCACTTTCTATCAAATGATTCAGTGTCTGCTGACATTGTAAAAACCTTATGACCTTCTCTATGGTATGCGTAGTTGACTGAGGTTTGGGACCTAGCAATCTATATTGAGATAGGAATCCATGCACCTTTCTTATAGAATTCTGGTAATATATATTAAATGGTCAACACACATAATGTTTGATTGGATGTGTAAGTAAGACTGAAAGAATTTCTTTCCTCTACTTCTCTTTGCAGGGAAATGCAGCTAGAACAGGAGAGAATAGAAGCTGAGAAGAAGCGGGTAAGAAAAATATTTCACTCAGTAATAAATGTAGTTGCAATTTAACGTAAGCGTCCTTTTTTTTCTTGAGAGTAAACTTTAATTGCAGTTTATCCTTACTGTCCTTATGAAAAAAATATAGTGCCTTTATGTCCTCCAAAATTAAAGTCCTAAGCATGATCCTCCCACAAAAAAAAAAAGTCTTAAGCATGATATGTTCATGAAATTCTATGAATGCCATTGGCGGGTTAGTACTTATCAATTTTTGTTGATAATTATGGCCTTCAGAATTTCTCTACTTACATAGGTAAAAGAAGACGCACAACAACTTGCCCGAGTTTTTGAAACCATCGGGGCTTTCAAGATTCCTCGCAAAGGTGGAAAAGGAAAACAAATCTTTGGGAGGCAAGTTCTAAGTTGGATAATCCTTTATCTATTCTCTGTTGTCTTACTTTCAGTTTTCTGACAATATCCTTTATTGTACACAGCGTCACAGCACAGGATGTTGTTGACATAATAAAGTCACAACTTAACAGGTAAAGTCACATGCTCCTAGCTCCTAAGCAATCTTAATAGCATTTCTCATTGTTATTGCTTTGCTTACTGCTGGCATGCTGTGTCATGTAGGGATGTCGACAAGAAGCTGGTGACAGTTCCAGAAATCCGTGAAATCGGAGAGTATGTTGCAGAGATCAAGCTTCACCCGGATGTGACAGCTCGAGTAAGGCTGAATGTTTATGCGAAATGAGCTCAGAAGTCACAGAACCTTGGGTAGATGGACTTTGCTGAAGCTTGATTTCGCCAGGTGAGTCCATTCGCAAAAAAAAAGAAAAAAAAGAAAGAGATTTGGCTCTTAGAATTCTGGTGGTCTTGCTCTTACAGTCACTTTTGTTTGGTGCAGAGATTTTGCTGAAAGTGCCAAGTGCTGTGGTAGACATTAAGGCCCGGTCTGGCCTAGCCTGGTTTTGATCCACAATTCACTGCCCATCCTATATTCCTACCCTGTAAAGTCAGATTTCGACAATTATCTCTGTTGATTTCATGAGTTGAAAAATAGAAATCGTTGTAAAGCACAATTGGTTTGAACTCTAGAGTCTAGAGCATTACGCTCTTCGACTGCATCCGGTTCACCAAAATCGACCCTTTTTTTTTTCTTGTCCCCTCACTCCCAACCTATACCGCCTGCATGATTACCAAATGGCAGGAAATTTGCTGGAAACGGGGCTCGACAGAGCGTTACGTTATTCAGATTGGACCACCACAGTCTCATTTCATTTCCGCAACAGCATGACGCACTTGATACATGCAGTAAATTCTTTTAGCCAAAAGGAATGGACACCGGGCGATCATTTATCTGATACAAATTCACGCAAACAACCAACTATATTCATGTCAACATCTCAACACACGTTCTACAAAAATGACAGTTTCACATCATTGTCAAAATTGCAAGACATCGACACAACTTCGGAATAGCAGTACTACTGTGGTGGCTCCGCGTTTCACTCTTACAAAATCTATTTGCTTCTGCTAAATGAACTACCAGTACAACTAAACAACCAGCATAACAGGCATGGCAAGACATCGGCACTGCACGGGGCTAGAAATAGCTTTTCCGCTTACGCGCGGTGTACTTCGTGTCCGCAGGCACATCGTGTCCTCTTCTTCTCATTTGCTCCTTTTTCCTCAAGAGCCAATCCTTTCCTTTACCGTTCTTTTTCGTCTTCTGCCGCTTCTTCGGCCTATTCCTTTCATATATGCCCACCTGCATTAAGATAAAATTTCATCCAGCGCTGGCATAATACTGATACAGGTTCACATGGTCGAACAATTATAAAGATAAGAGCATAAGAGATGGGAGTAAAAAACAAGAAACTATGACTTTGCAAAGATTACTGATCAAACATAAAGAGTCAGTATTTAACTACTGCATCCAAGACAACAGCAGTGTCTATACTATAGCATTAGACGACTATGAATTAGTGTGTAAAACCAAAGAAGCAAGATAGTCATTTGTTTTAAGGATCCCCAGTTCCCCACTATACTAAATTTGAAATTGCCTATTCACAAATGGCCATATAATCATGTAATGACAAATCCAGTGCAGCTAGTTCTGCAGTAGCAGTAAGCACTTATGAGTAACCAAATTGCTTCAATCTGAGATTCATTCGTAAAAACCTGATACCTTAAAAGTAAAGGGTGATTATCAGGTCAAACAAAACAAGAAAAGTAGTAGACAGAAAAAATGAGATAACGTCAAAACAGTAACTAGATCCATGATTATGTACAAGAACTGTGCTACGTGAAGTGTTAGCTTACTGTTCTGTCGCCATCTTCATCACTGCTCTCATTATCATCATCGTCGCTGCGCATCTCACCATTTTCACCTTTACCCTTTGGAAGTGATGTAGTAACTGAAGGTGGTCCACAAGTGAGGACAAGGTAGGACTTCTTCGCTTTTGAACTGTCAGAAGAAAGGCATGCTCATAAGCAGAGACATGAAATTTGTAGGACTGTTCATACTCCATTGTTACAAGGTAACTGAATCCATACCTATGAGGCCAGTCAACAACCACTCCACCAGCAAAACCAGCACGCATGGCAGCAGTTACAATCATTTCACTCTGCTTCACATTATCAGCGTAAAACTGTAGAACAGCTCTTGCTCCCCTTGCTAGGCATCTATATAACGAACCGAAGAAAGCCCTGCAAATTCCCATGTTGAAGTTAAAAACAGGAAGCAGACAACCTAAAACAATATAAAATAAATCTTCAGGTACACACTTTAACCGCAATCTTGGATCATGAGAAGACTTGTCAGCATTGCATAACCACTGCACAAATAGGCAAAAAAAAGGGCACAGTTCTGAAATGACAAATTCTGAAGGAGATAAGCATGATCATTTAGCTGCAACAGTTATCGCTTCAAGAATACCTGAACCGCTGAAATACTAATTGCACCATCAATAACTCCTGGCCGCAAGCCCAAGCCCTACAACATTAATTAAGCAAACATTAAGAAACTCTGAAGACAGGTTACATGTTCCTCAGGTGAAGCAACTTTGAAAAGACCAGTGCAGTTGCATTAAGCAAACATCAAGAAACATTGAAATATTTATGGTTCATAAAACCCAGCATGTGCGATAAGTCAATTCTACACTTTTTCAGGTTATCAGATTCAATATTCTTGTAACTCTGTAAAAGTTTGAACTTTGAAGGCCCTACAGTGCCGGACTGACTCAGAAAATCATGTTCAATAACACAATTGATGTGCATTATTATTACTACTATACTAAGGCTGATTTAGATTTTAGAGTTTAGACCTCGTACAAGGTACAACTCAATACGGTATTATTGTACAAGTCATGAATTTCCCTTCAAGCTTCATGATATACAGCGAATATCGACATCTGAAGCTATTCCTAAAAAAGCTGAAACTAAAATTTACAAATATTCGTTCGTTGGCATAGCGCTCCTTATACCTGTCCCATATCAGCAAGTAGGAGGTCTCCTTCTGTTTCACGCTCCAAGGCAACATCTGTGCAAAACAGTGAAGTTCTAAGGAAGCAGGCACCAGAGCAAGATATCTAGAAAGCTCCCCTCCTCTAAACTCCCATTTCCCTTTCCCAATTGGTGCCAAACAAGCCTAAGAGAAAGGAACATAGAGAGGTCCTCACCGAGCATCGACTTTGAAATATCATAGCCAATCCAATGGTGGCCATGCTCCGTCAATGTCTCACCACTAAGTCCGGAACCACATCCTGGTAATCACAGCACACAAAGTCACCGTAGTTAAACACAGCTTCAAACATAGATGTCTTTCATTTGCCACAAACCATTGCAGTTAAGAGCTCCCACAGCATGTATTTTTGCCCCCATCAAAGCAGAATACTCTTTGGTGTTCTAGCCAACGCAATATGCCATGATTCCTGAAACAGAGCTGCAGAAGAGGGTAAGCTGACCTATGTCGAGAAGCATCTTGGGGACGCCATCGTTGGGGAGAGCGAGCAGCTCCAGCGCCCTCTCGGAAATCCTAGACTGAAAGAAGGCATGTCACTTCGCATCAGCACCGCGAAATCGGCAAAGCTCAAATTAACCGGGGGAAGGCGCTTCGCTTGCTCACCTGGATTTCGATGATACGGGAGGAGGTGGTGTACTTGCGGGCCTCCGACTCATTGTAGAACACATCCGGCGGCGCCTGGAACTCCGGTCGAGGCATCTCACTCTCCTCCGAGTTGCTCCTGTCCTCAGTCTCCCTTCGCAGGCACAAACGCCGTCGCCGCCGCCGAGGTGGGTGGTTCGGGGTGCTCGCGCGCCGCAATGCCGCTGGCTATCAAGAGGGGTCTCCTCACGCGGTCGCGGAGATGGTTTGCTTATTGTGCTGTTAGCGGGCCACGCGGGACATTTACATGGGCCTCTAAACAGCCGGCCTAGTAAAGCGTAGCCTTTATAAATCTCCCACCCATCTAGGTCATCGTTCGGAGCAGCCGCCGCCGCCGCAACAGCCCGAGTCGCTCGTCAGATCCTCCGAGCACCACAGCTCCGCCGCCATGGGTAACGATCTCCTCGTCTTCGTTTCTATCTACTTTGTGTGCATCCCGCCAATAGCCGTTTACTTAGATTGGTCTATCTGCTTCTGGCGTAGGTAAGGTTCACGGATCGCTGGCCCGCGCTGGGAAGGTGCGTGGGCAGACGCCCAAGGTGGCGAAGCAGGACAAGAAGAAGAAGCCCCGCGGCCGGGCGTACAAGCGCATGCAGTACAACCGCCGCTTCGTCACCGCCGTCGTCGGGTTCGGCAAGAAGCGCGGCCCCAATTCATCTGAGAAGTAGATCTAGCTATGGCTGTTTTGTTCCCTACTACTACTAGTTTCCGTGTACTGATGGCAAGTTGAAGACTTATGCTATTATCTGTATCGATGTTACTGCAATACTATCAAGTATGATATGCATCGTTTAGTTGATCAAGTTGCCTGTGGTGGTGATCTTTTTGGTTATCTGGAATGGTGGAAACATGTTGTTCTGTGTTCGTCTTGTTTTGAACATCTATCTAATTCGCTTGTTTGGTGACACAGAAGTCTAAATGTTAATGCAATACTATGAAGTATGATATGGGCTGTTTAGCCGATCAAGTTCCCTTTGCTGATCTTTTTGGTTATCTGAATGTTGGAGACATGGTGTGTTGTGTCGTTCTGTGTGTCTTGTTTTGAACATCCAAACTCGTGTGGTGGTGATCTTTTTTGGTTATCTGAATGTTGGAAACATGTGTCGCTTGTTTGGTGACACAGGAGTCTACATGTCAGTCTAGTCCATGTAAGTTGGTCTTGCTTGATTCTGAAATTGGTGAAAGTTTTCAGTCGTCTTGCTTGATTCTCAAATTGGTGAAAGTGGAACTGTTTTGTGAAATTGTGGCCAGTAGGCTGAGCAAATTATCTGAATTTTGGCAGAAAGTGGAACTGTTTTGTTCAATTTTGACTGTTAGTCTAGTTTGTTCTGTTAGGCACACTTAAATTGGCATGAGTGAAATTAGATAGATTGTGCCATTTTGCTCAGAAGCCTTGCATATATGATTTCTGTCTGGAGCATATGATGTCCCCACCAAATGAACAGATTCTTGCATATATGAGTTCCATCTGGAGCATCTGATGTCCGCACCAAATGAACCAATCCTTGTAAATATTGGCGGTTAATTTGCTTGTTTAGAAGCAGAGCTCTAGAACCTGGAATGTCTGTCTGATTGGCTGTTCTTTG